TAGACCACAAAATATTGTCTTTATAATCATGACCCAAATTTCAGGTATTGTTACAGGTGGGTTTTTGATGATTTTCAGCCTTTATTGTTAGTACATTAACCAATATCTGCGTGTAAAATACAAAAAAATACTCATCATGACGCCCCAACATCTAGGAACAAGGTGCATATTTTTTCAGATTTTTAGCTCTCTTCCTGTTGCCTCAGGACTTTTCTATGTCAGTAGTTTTCTTTACCGCCCGGTAAAGATTACATTTGGTGTAGTGATTGTGCGTTTGAAGGCAGCCTAGATGACGGGGTTAATTTACTCAAATCCATGGTGAGGCACGTTCCAACCTCAATCATGGCGCCCGAATCTAGCTATACCACACCGACAAATCAAGCTGATGTCATGAAGTTGCACTGTCGTTTAGGTCACCCGAATCTGCAATATATGAAGTTAATGGTGGTCAACAAGAGTGTTAAAGGACTTAGTCTACCTTCTTCTCAATTCCCTGCTGTTCTTCATTGTGATCCTTGCGATCTTGCCAAAGGCCATAAAATACCACACAACAAAATTCATGTTCGTAGTAACAATCTTCTAGAAAATGTGCATCTCGATCTCAGTGGTATTATACGGACTAGTGCTGTTTGTGGAAGCCTTTACTTCATGTTGTTCACGGATGACTGTTCAAGATACCGTCATGTAGTGGGTCTATCCACAAAAGCGGCCGATGTGGTCTTCATAAAAATCAAGCAAAACATTTCTCTAGTTGAACGTCAGTGTGGTGAAAAGTTGAAAATGATCACTTTAGACAATGGCAACAAATTTATCAATGAGACCCTGGTACCTTACTGTAAGGAAATGGGTATTTATCTCCGGACCACTGCAACATACACGCCTGAGGAGAACGGAGTGGCTGAGCGGTCAAATCGCACAATCACGGAGCCAGCTCGTGCAATGATGATCCAAGCGAACCTGCCAATCAAGTTCTGGTTGTACTGTATCAAAGCCGCTGTCTATCTGAAGAACCGCACTGTTTCCTCCTCTATCCCAACTGGAAAGACACCATTCGAATTGTGGTATGGTCGTCAACCAGACGTGTCCCATCTAAAGTCCATTGGTTGCCTATGTTACGTTCTTATCCGTAAGGCTCTTCGAAATGGCAAGTTTGAGCAAGTGTCCCGTCAAGCCGTGCTTTTGGGTCACACTGATCATAATCTCAACTATGAAGTCTATATCTTTGAGACTAATAGTATAGTAATCTCTCATAATGTGTTTTTCCGAGAAGACAACTTTCCCTTCAAGAAACTCAAGGCATTTGACGTTTCTCATCTCACGTTTGCCTCGGAAGAACCTCAACTATTACCGGATCCTTCCGTCCCTGAATCACCTAATAATGATCAGGACGACGACGTCCTAATACCTGGTGGTGAAGGAGTGCACCAGTTAGAAAACCCTCTTGTGAACTTTGGCACCCTGGCCATCGATGAACAGCAAGTTATCCAGCCCGAATTGGGTAATGAAGAGCAAGCTATCCAGCCCGAATTAAATACTGAAGACCCCAATGTTCCTGTTGTCCCGCGTCGATCTACAAGAGAGCGAGTTCCTATTGACAGGTTTCGGCCATCTGCCAGTTTCGCTTATTGGGAGGACGAAGGTGCCTTCAAAGATATCCATGATTTCTATCCCTACGCTTTTGCAATTGGATCTACCGTTCGTCTAATTGATGAACCTCATAGTTATAAATCAGCCTTCAGGAGTGTCGACAAGGATGCTTGGAAGGTAGCCTGCAATAACGAAATGGCAAACATGAAAGAAAGGCGTGTTTGGCGTTTGGTTCCACGACCAACTAATCAACCGGTCGTTGGCAGCAAGTGGCACTTCAAGGTCAAGCTCAATCCAGACGGGACTATTTCAAAACGAAAAGCTCGGATTGTTGCAAAGGGGTATACTCAAACTTACGGTGTCGATTACACCGAAACTTTTGCGCCTACC